GACCCGCAATGTCCATATATAAGTGGTTGAATCACTCGGGAACTCGCTCGAAACTTCCGATAGGAGCCTTGGTGTGTCTGTGCACCTCGTTCTCTTGACAAATTGAACAGGCTTTAGTCCACTTACGGATATCTGTTTGCATTCTTAGCCAGACGAAACGGCCTGTGAATAGTATCCTAGACGCTCGTAGGCCTGGATGCGCCAAATCATGAACGGCTTGGAAGACCAATTTCCGCATGGCAGAAGAGATGGAAGGACGATGTTTTCCCATAGACATGTCACATCATATCTTAGCACCTTATCAGTTCGGACTGTTGGTAAGCGGCGATTTGACTGAATTCTCATTCCTCTGCTTCGGCCATGGCTTAATAATCAATTCTGTCGTCAAGTACTACAGAAACTATCTCAATGCTGGAGAGTGTGCCTGCAACGATGTTGTCTTCTTCTTTTAAGTATTTTTCCTATATAAGTAGAGTTTCGAGACTACCATTAGTAGTTCACATCGCTGGTGAACTGTGATGTAGTCCACTTGGCGGAATTCGTGCGGGTAATACTTGTCTGAAGCGCTCTCAAAAGCTCCACACAAAAGTTTGTGATCAGTTAAAATGTGAAATTGGCATCCAATTAGCATATGCTTGAAATATTTCACTGATGAATACACCGCGTAGAATTCACGGCTAAAAGTGCTGTATCTCTTCTCTGTTGGTGTGAATTTTCAAGAGTAGAAAGCGAGAGGCTGAGAAGCTCCATCAACAACCTGACCCACAACCTGGTCAGAGGTGTCGGTCACAAGGTATCTGAAATTAGATATACCAAAATGGTCAATTCGGCGAGAGCTGATTCAATACATTCGAAAAGGCGCTGTGCATATTTAAATAGGAAGGTGTCTTTTTTTAGCTTTTGGATACTCTTTCAAGGGATTTAACACGTCTGTGCCGTTAAAAATTACGCGATGGTAAATATTCAGCATCCTGAGAAAATTTCTTAATAACTTGGCGGTGCGTGTTAGGGGAAAATTCTTGATGCTCAGATCCTTCTCTTGATTTGGTAGCTTATTGTAAAGATCACTAAAATGTTCGAGGAAAACCCAGGTATCGACACCAAAAACGCTTTCTTCAGAGGAAATCACCCGATTGTTGTGAGATAGTCTTTCAAGTAGGACAACTAGATGCTTCTTTTATTGTTCTATGTCGTCACTGGCGACTAGTATATCATCAATATAAACTAAAACTCATAGGTCCAGATTAACCTCGTGCACTTGTATTTAAAACGTTTGTGCGGCGTTTCTAGACCAAAAAAGGCACCCTGTTAAATTGGAACAAATCGAAAGGGGTGATGCCTTTGTGGTCTGGATTTAGAGGAATCTAGAAATATGCAGTTTTGGGGTCTACTTTGGAGAAAATGTTTCGGCCTTTTGGAGCTTAAGTGACCTCTACGACACGTGGTAGAAGACATCCGTGTGGAACCGTTACACCATAGAGTCTTATAAAATCACCACAGTGCCTCCATTTGTTCTTGTCTTTCTTTTTTACCAAATGAAGTAGAGACGCCCATGCGCTTTTTGATGGGTAAATAATACCAACACTTATTATATTAATTAATATAGATTTGGCTGTCTTCAAATTTTTCGGGGCTATTTGACGTGGTCAATGGAAGACCGGGCGACCGCTGGTCTCGTTGTGTTGCATTTTTGTGTAATTAGTTACACCTCTGTGAAAAATAGGTTCGGTGGTAGAGGGAAACTTGCTCACCAGCAGCTCATTCCAGGTTTAATTTTCCGTGTCGGTCCAATGATTGGATGATGTATCCACTAGTGTACTATTTATTAGATCAGTGCAAAGTCGATGTCCGCTGAGAAAGTCAATTCCAAGGATATCAAAAACAGATCTTCCACGAC